ATATCGCCCACCCCTCGTTTGTGATTCGTGTAAAAAAAATCAAAGAAAAACAATTAAGCCTCGTCAAAGTGTTGGATCTAATATATATATATATATATATATATATATGCTTTTATTGGTAATTAAACAAGACAACAAACACTAACACACAGTGTTAAACGATGTTATAATTAAGCCAAATAATTAATATTGTAAGTTGCGTGAAATTTAACGATTATGATGCTTAAATATGATTAATACGTGATTAAGTAGTGTATATACGATTCCGATTAAAATACGTTTTTTTCCCATGCACGTGGCGGAATCGAAGTGGCGATCAGAGTTTATGAATAATAAACGATTCAACGATGTCGAAAGAAAAAGGATGGATTGGAACATGTCCCGCATGTTTCGAGTCTCCATGTGTCTGATACGTATTGTGCCGCCTCTCATTGAACCGTTCACGATTACAAACTTTTTTTTTTTTGTTGTAACGTGGTGACTCTATATGTGTATAAATGTCATAGTATGTCTCCCTTGTGCTATATGTAGATTCACACGTGTGTGTGTGCGCGCATTTGATTATTTTCATATCACGCAGTGTTTGATATTCTTTATAATAATTTAAAATATCATTATTAGATGATGATCATTTGTGTTCCAATTGTTATAAATGCTATCTTAATTCATTGCATTATAGATCTCAAATTCATTATATTTCGAATATTAGCTAATATTTCAATAGTTATGGACCCACGACTTAAATTAGTGATTTTTTTTTATAATCCGGATTTTCACTAGACCTTTGGTCCAACCATCTTTCAGAGGAATGGAAAAGTCCATATAAATGCCTCTCTTTAAGTTTGGGTTTGAACTCCGGGTAAGAGCATGCTTTACATGTTCTCTTAACAGCAGACCACCCAATCTTGAGTAAATGAGTGATTTTGTGATATAATAATAATGAATTTCGAGGTTTGTATTTATACGGAAAAGTCGTGTTTGGTTGCATGTACCAAGTGACCACCGACGAAATGGAGTGTCCGAATGAGCGTAACTTATGCCTTTCCGGACCCTGGAAAAGCGGTTTACTTAAATGCTTCGTGAGATTTGTCGATTTCATTAATAATCTACATATCCTTTTTTTTTTTGTATAAATCTACATATCATAATACTCAACAGAAACAATCCACATACATACCATCCACTTGCAAAAATAAAAAAATAAAAAATCGTAGAACATAGAATTTTTTTATATAATAATAAAATCCGAAATCGAATTATCTATTTTGTAAGGTAAGAATTGACTTTGAATTTTTAAAGTGATATAAAATCTGGGGTTATAATTATAATTAAAAATGGACATAATGTAAGATGGGGAAAGAAGATAGCACATCGAGGGGCGAGAGCATATGGGGAGGTGTCGGCCTCAGCGGCTTGAGCGGACAGATCTATTTCTCGTCTTCACTCCTCTCCGTAAGAATCTATTTATAGTCTGTGTCGGTTTTTATGCAAAATTATATTATCTGTTTATTTAAATCGATTTTGTAAGTCCAAAGTATATAACAATCATTAGAAAAAAAAATTAAAAAAAGGGGAGTGGGGTTTTGGCCTAAAATTATTGAACAAGCCACTGTTTTAGCATATGATTGTTGTTGCTGCCGACATCTTTTCATAAACCAAGTCTAGGAATTTAAAGTCGCGTGAGTTTTGGATTTATTATAATTGAAATATAATTGATAAAGCTGGTATCCGAAATACTAACCGTAACTATATATCTATATATAAAAGACAATTTACATATAATATGATATACAATATTGTAAGATTATGATGTTAAATTTGAAATGGGATATACACATTTTGCCCCAATCGTTTGATTTGTCTAATTCACGTTTACAACCAACTTTCCCTAATCATGATTGCTTCCCAGTTTACTTTGGTATCTAATTAAGTGTAATCATTATGGTTTTCCCATTAAAATAATAACCATTCATCTTTTTGCTGTATTCAAATATAAAAAAGATTTAGATAAGAGATTTTGAAATTAATTTATGCCTTAGTGATTGTATCGTTTTTAAATCTATGATTCAAGATAATATCAGACTAGAACCCGGAGATAATATGTAGATTTCAATAATAGGTATGAACTATATATAAATTTGCATAATATATATATATATATATATATATATATATAATGCATAGGAAATTGAGTTGGGCCTTATAAAGGTGAAATAAATTAAAATCCCAAAAGAAAAAGAAGCCCATAATTTAATGTGGATCTATATATTGGGCTGTCACAAATGAAAAATGGGCCATTAAATAAATCATTTTAGTATTTAAGTTTGATATCCACTCATTCAGAGCTCAGTGGCCCATTATGCATCATAACTTTATAACCTAAAGTCCACTGGGCCTCAGTCCGAGTCTGACATTGAGAATGGTTTACATATTTAAACATTTATGTTGTTCATTTAGGAAACGTTTATTTTCAATTTTGTTTTTTTTTCTAGTTTATTTTTTTTGCATAGATTCAATTCAAATTTTATTATGATTTTGTTATTATTAAAATAACCGATTTTCATTTCAATTTATTTAGATAAAAAAATTTATGTCCATCTACTTAATTATAAATTAGAATATAATTAATTATTATCCGAACAAAATAAATTTCAACTGGAACTGGACTCTATCAGTTAGTTTCAATGCAACTGCCCAAAAGGAACCCGTAACAAATAAAATAATAACAAAACTGAAAAGGGCATAAACAAATAAATGGAAGAGTTAAATACATATTTTCCAACGGCTGCGATCCGCTGCGACATGCCACATCTTTACATACCCTAGGGATACACACAAACAACGCAGAACAGTAAACGACGTATAGGATAACGCCACGTGGATATGACAGAGTTCCATGATTGTCTTCTCTGATTGGCTATCAATCGTAGCCTGCAAATAATCTCTGTAAAAGCCCCTTCTTACACAACACATGTTTTTTTTTATTTGATATAAAAAACAAATGTTCAAAGTAACGTGTGATATAACAACCTTTTTCCTTTTTACTAGAGATAGGTAGGTTGTGTTAAATGCTTTTTCGTTGGGGTTTTTCTCTATCATAGGTTATATAGCCCAATAAGAAGCCCTACGAAATACTTTATACAAATTCTAAATATATAAAAAAAAATTACTAATTTCGTAAAATGGGTTAAGTTTGGCTCCTTTTTTGTAATGAACCCTCCAATTGTCCATTATTCAATTCGTCCATAAAAGGGTTTTTTTACGGTTGGAATGTGATGTGTCCCATTGATTAAATTTGTCATATTGTTTTGTATTTTTTATAGACATCGGCCCAAATAGGCGAATATACATTACTCCAAACCATAGGTTAGTATATATATTTGCATTTATATTGAGTCGTGTTATTAATGGATTCTAATTACAAAAAAAAAAATTAAACTTTGACAAGTAGTAGTCTTCATTGTGACTAAAAAAAATACATTCATTAATTTTGAGATCCGACGAAGACAGGAGAAGATATGGTCTGTCCAAATTAAGCTAAAGAGGACCAAACGTTACGTGAATTTAAAATCCCATGGATATTTTTTACTGATCGAATTTGTCAGATTATTTATTTATTTTATTGAAAATCCGAGCTCCCAAAATCAAATCTTGTAAAATGGGCTTATTATAAGACGACACCCAAAAACGAGCAAATCGACCGTCGATTATACATCCGACGGCTAGGGATTTCCCTTGGGTTGTGGAGCTATTGTGGGTCCACATTACATATTCAGTTCGATTATTTTTATTGCAATTATTCCAGCAAAGAATATACTAGTCCCTCCTTCCTTCTTGTAATTTTTTTTTACCGGTAGTGCTTTTTAGCATTTATACATCACTATATAATATAAATTGGTATTTTTGACTTTAATAAAAAAAAATACGAAACGATAGAAAAAAAAGAGAAGGCAATTTTAATGAGAGCAGCTTTATACGAAGCTATCTATACCATGAAAGGCCACAAGAGCCGATGCTCTGCATATCTCCCCTGCTTCCCCTTCTGCTCTCCCTTTTTCTTTTGCTTGTTTTGCCTTTTTAAATTATCAAATTATTGCACAGTATAATCACTATTTTTATATATTACACATTTTTTTTTTCTCAATATCATCAAATTCCAAAGTTTATATATCCATAAAATTGGTCGGATGAAAATATAATAATAATAATAATAATTTCGAAAACTGGAAGACCATTTAATTTTCTTTGTGGAGAGAAACAACACAAGTGGTAGAGAGAAAAGGAAACTACCAAAACCGAACCGGTCCAACCGGTTTCCCAATCTCTATCAATGCATTAAATGATATTCACAAGGAAATGCATGTTGTTTGTCTACATCGCGGTCCATGCTCTGTTCCCTGCACGCGGATTCTCCGCCGCTCGATCCGTTCGTTTCCTCACGCGCTTCGTGGCGCGTTCACGCATCAAGAGTCAAGACTCAAGACTGTCGTTTCTAGGGGGGAAAACGGCGTGCAAACGGCGGCGGCCTTGTCGCCGTCAAATCGGAGGTGCACTATTTCTCCTCTGTTTTTTGTTCCTTGTCACATCCCTAACGCCGTTTACTCTCTGCCCTTTGGCTAAAAAGTAATTATTTGGATTTCTGCATTATTAAAATGCCGGAGGATCTCTAATTGCATGGATAACGTTAATGCATTTGTACTAATCTCGTACTTAATGTATTATTATAGATCAATTTGATTGAACTGGCAGAAGTATATTAAAATTAAACAGGGTTAGCTTTTATTTTTGGACCAAATTAATTTTGAATGGATTATTATCCAATAAACTAAACCCAAAATTGACTCCGTTCAAATTTACAGAAGTTTTTCCACGAATGATATCTATATTTTTTTTTAATTATAATAAAATCTCATAAACATTATACAAGAATCTAATAATATTTAAATATTTTAATGTAAATTTTTTTATATGAATAATTGTAATTATGGTGTATAAATACTCCCACCCCTCGTTTGTGATTCGTGTAAAAAAAATCAAAGAAAAACAATTAAGCCTCGTCAAAGTGTTGGATCTAGGGCGAGAGGATTATTACGGACTCCTACATATACAATAGATGTACATATATGCTCTGACATATTTGTCGTTCATCTATTACTACAGTTTCTCTCTCATGGCGTCTCTAGTTATACACTGTACACTATATCACTGTCCATATCCTTCTCTCTCGTCTTTAACATTTCTGCTCTGCATTCCTTGCAGTTCACGCTAATCGCCTGTGTCGGTCTCCTTACCTCTCTCTATCTCCATCAACAATGGCTGACGCCTCTGAACTCGGCTTCCCTTCTTCTTGAAATTCGCTTCTAACTAGAAACTTCAAAGAATCTGGGTCATTTTCTTTTGGGTTCCTTTTTGTTCCTCGTGGGTGGGTGGAGAAGAAGAAGAAGAGGACGAAGAAGAAAATGAAGGTTCGGGTGAAAGGCTGGGTTTTATCCCTGGCAATGGCGGTTTTCGTTCTCGTCGGTGTTGCTTCCTCGATTAACGACGAAGGTTGCAAATTTTTCGGAGTTCCTTCTCGTCTCTTCTGAGTTTTTCAAAGTTGTCGTTTTTTTTAACAGCGAGAGCGAAGTCTGGAAAACATATTCAAGACCAAAACCTTGTTTGGTTTCCGAGAAATTTAGGGTTTTTCCTCCAAAATTCTGGTTTGGGTTTCGAGAAAATGTAGAGGAATCGTCTGCTTTCCCAGTTCTCTTATCTTGTTCGCGAGAAAATTAAATATCAAGGCCTTGCGCGGAAGCTCCGTTTGGTTCCTGAGAAAATGAACGCTGTCAACTTTTTCATGGCAGTCAGTCGGATTTTTCACTCATAGAAATGCAATTTCAAAAAAAAAAAAACACTCCTTTCCTTCACCGGAAACAGGAAGGTGATTTGTCCCGGAGAACCCTTATTTTTGGATCGAAGAAAGATTTCATTTTCAAGGCCCTGTTTGGTTTCCGAGAAAAAAACCAAATCACTGATCATCTTATGTTCGAAAATATATTTTTTAAAGTATTTGACTGTTGTTTCATAGTATAATAATAAATTGATTTCTTGATTTCTTTAGTATAAAAAAGATTCATCCTTTTTCTTCTCAGGGAAAGCGCTGATGGCGATTAAAGCTTCCTTCAGCAACGTGGCGAATGTTCTTCTTGATTGGGACGACGTTCACAACGACGACTTCTGTTCATGGCGAGGAGTCTACTGCGATAACATTAGCCTCTCTGTCGTCTCGTTGTAAGAATCTTTCTCACAGTTCTTGTCGTTTCATCTTAACAGATTCTTCATATGGCGTAATGGGTCCTTTTTTTTGCGATGGTTTCGTTTTTTGTTTGAAGGAATCTTTCAAATCTGAACCTGGGAGGAGAGATTTCACCAGCTGTCGGAGATTTGAGGAATTTGAAGTCCATGTTCGAGTTTCTTCTTCTTCTGAAAGTTTAAATTTTTCTGAAACAGCACGGCATATGCTGTGTTGGGTTTATATGATTTTATCAATAGTGATACGTGATCTTTGCAAATTGCAGAGATTTACAAGGGAATAAGCTAGCTGGTCAAATCCCAGACGAGATTGGAAACTGTGCTTCTCTTGTTTATCTGTAAATCCTTTCACCCTTTCAAAATCATTTTTTTTATACAGTTCGAGTTGAAGTTCTTGAGGTCTGGCATGTTTTTGGTTTTCTGATTTTCCATAATGTTTATATAAACCAAGAATTTCCTATGCAGGGACTTCTCTAATAATCTCCTGTTTGGTGACATACCATTTTCAATCTCTAAACTCAAGCAGCTGGAGTTTCTGTATGTATTCTATTATCAAGTTTCTGTATTTTGTTTTTCCTTTTCTCTAGTTTTTCTTACTGATTCAAGATTGTTACATTCGAAATCTGTCTATTTTTCCAGGAATCTGAAGAACAATCAGCTCACAGGCCCAATACCAGCGACTCTAACACAGATTCCAAGCCTTAAGACGCTGTTAGTATATGATTAGCCACTGCAGAATTTAGAAAAAGGAATTACTATACTCATCAAATGTTCGTTTTCCATAGTAATTTCTCTTATAAATTCTGCAGTGACCTTGCAAGAAACCAGCTTATTGGCGAGATACCGAGGTTACTTTACTGGAATGAAGTTTTGCAGTATCTGTAAGTTATTTGAGAGTTACTCCAACCAATCTTTTACTGCATAAGATACATTCCGCAACAACGAAAGTATTACGCTCTGATTAAATTTAACTTGTTTGCAGCGGTTTACGTGGGAATATGCTGACGGGCACATTGTCTCCCGATATGTGTCAGCTCACTGGTTTATGGTACTTGTAAGTGGACTCGATAAGGATCTTCGTCCCTAGCTCTTGGCTTTATCTTTCTTTCCATTCTCAGTTTCATGCCCTCATTGGTTTGTTGATGCGTTTGTCAGTGATGTGAGAGGCAATAACTTAACTGGAACCATCCCAGAGAGCATTGGCAATTGCACAAGCTTTGAGATCCTGTATGCAGTTTTCTTCCTATTGAAACTTCGGCTTCTCTTCTTTGTTCTTGTCTGGACTTATGTTCTTTCATTTCCAGGGACATATCATATAATCAGATAACCGGAGAGATTCCCTACAATGTTGGATTCCTCCAAGTCGCCACTTTGTAAGATCTTATACTTCAACAGTATCATTCGATCAGCGATGAATGCAAAACAGTTGGTGGTGGGATTGAACAAAACTAGTTGTTCATGGAATGTTTTCTCGCAGGTCACTTCAAGGAAACAGGCTTACGGGTAAAATTCCGGCAGTGATTGGTCTAATGCAAGCCCTTGCTGTTCTGTAAGTTCATTTCCCATCGAAAACTTGAAATAAAAACCAGTGCTTTATTTATCCGTTTCAGTTTTTTTCTCTGGTTTCTGTGTGAAACTTTTTCGATTTTCAGGGATTTGAGTGACAATGAGCTAGATGGGCCTATTCCTCCAATCCTTGGCAACCTCTCGTACACCGGAAAGCTGTAGGTCTCGTCCCCTTAACCCTTTTTTCAAAATGATCACATCTTAGCGTTTAAAGATTCATGCTTTTGTTGCATTAGGTACCTCCATGGCAACAAGCTCACTGGACCTATCCCACCTGAGCTCGGCAATATGTCACGACTCAGCTATTTGTACGATCATTCTCTAATCCCAAATTCCTTCATTCGTCTCTTACCTTCATTATGCTTATCATTTTTGTTCATTATTTATGTAGGCAACTGAATAACAATGAACTCGTGGGAAGTATCCCGCCCGAGCTTGGGAAGCTGGAGCAATTGTTTGAACTGTGAGTGCTCTCTTTCTAGTGATTTCTCGGTGTCTTCTCATATTTCACTGATATGTTTATGCATATTTTTTGTGTTAAAGGAATCTTGCCAACAACCGGCTTGTAGGACCAATTCCTTACAACATTAGTTCATGTGCTGCCTTGAATCAGTTGTAAGGATGAGATCCAACTTTTCCATATGCTTCTTTTTCGCCTTCTTTGTCCCTTTCATCGTTGTAGTCAATCTTATTGTGTTCTTATGCTGTTTCTATTGCAGCAATGTGCATGGGAATCTCCTCAGTGGATCTATACCATTGGGATTTAGGAATCTTGGCAGCTTGACTTATCTGTAAGCTTAAATCTTCTGTGTTTTGCAGCACTATCTTTTAACTTTCTTGCCAACTTGATCCGGATGGAATGCTTTGTGAGTTCAGGAATCTTTCGGCGAACAATTTCAAGGGCAAAATACCTGCTGAGCTCGGGCATATCATCAACCTCGATAAATTGTATGTTTTTTCTTTCAGATGTTTTACTTCTTGTTCCGGCATTTAGTGATTATTAGGTGGACCGACACTTTTGAATTTGTTATTTTCAGGGATCTGTCGGGCAATAATCTTTCAGGGTCTATACCATCAACCCTCGGTGATCTTGAGCACCTTCTGATATTGTGAGTCTCTAACCTCAGAAGCTGCTTTCTTGTTTGCAAAACTCTCACTTTGTTGATGTGAGATTTGTTTAATTGGCAGAAATTTAAGCGGAAATCATCTAAATGGCCCGTTACCTGCAGACTTTGGGAACCTTCGAAGCATTCAAATTGTGTAAGTTTTTCCTTCGGACATAAAAACACTTTCTTTTGTATACATCAAAACGATAAAACCGTCCTCTTTACTGATTCTTCTGTTTTCAATCTCAGTGATGTGTCATTCAATATCCTCTCCGGTGTTATTCCCACTGAACTCGGCCAGTTGCAGAACATTGTCTCCTTGTAAGTAAACCCTGTTGTCTTACTCAGCCTGTTTAGGTATAACAGAGCAAGTCATGTACTGTTCCTTCTGTTTCTTTCAGAATTCTGAACAATAACAAGTTTCATGGGAAATTACCGGACCAGCTTACAAATTGCTTCTATCTGGTCAATCTGTAAGTTTCTTTCGGGATGTTGTAGTGATATAAATGTATCGGAATCTGACTTTGTTCCTCCTCTGTTATCCATTTTAGGAATGTCTCCTTCAACAATCTTTCGGGGATGATCCCACCAATGAAAAACTTCTCACGTTTTGCCCCTTCAAGGTATCAAGTGGCGAAGCCTTTTCTTTATGTGTCGTCTCTCATCTAACTGATATCTGCCTTTTCATTTCTCGTTTGATAGTTTCATTGGAAACCCATATCTATGTGGAAACTGGGTTGGCTCTATTTGTGGCCCTTTGCCTAAATTTCGAGGTATCTATAGCTAAGGTCTATGTTTAGCAATGGTCTTATCAACATATTATTTCTCATTCCTGCGTTGGACGGATGACCTTCTTTGGTTTGCTTTCTGGTATTCACATTAGTCTCCAGAGCTGCTATCATTTGCATGGTCCTCGGGTTCATCACTCTGCTATGCATGATCATCATTGCGATATACAAATCAAGGCAACAGAAGGAAATCCTGAAAGATTCTTCAAAACCAGTTGAAGGTAATGTCTCTTCTTGTGTGTTCATCAGAATTCAAAGCAGAGGAATACGATAACGTTCTTGTGATCATACCAGGTTCTTCCAAGCTTGTGGTTCTTCACATGGACATGGCCATTCACACGATCGATGATATAATGAGAGCGACTGAGAATCTCAGTGAGAAGCATATCATCGGCTGTGGTGCTTCCAGCACCGTTTACAAATGCACGCTGAAAAATTCCCGGCCTGTTGCCATTAAGCGGCTCTACAATCAGTACCACCACAACTTGCACGAGTTTGAGACAGAGCTTGAGACCATCGGGAGCATTAGGCACAGAAACATTGTCAGCTTGCACGGATACGCCTTGTCTCCTTATGGCAACCTCCTTTTCTATGACTACATGGAAAATGGGTCTCTTTGGGATCTTCTTCATGGTTAAATCTTTTGTCTCTTTTCTCTAATTTAAACCAGTTTATGCATAATCTTTGACCGGTATCAGTTCCAAGATTCATGATTTGCGGAATAGGTAAGTATGATTGTTGAAAAGTTTTGATTTTTTTGAAGCAGGGTCATCGAAGAAAGTGAAGCTTGACTGGGAAACTCGCCTGAAAATTGCAGTGGGAGCTGCTCAAGGATTGGCGTATCTTCACCACGACTGCACCCCTCGGATCATCCATCGGGACATCAAGTCGTCAAACATACTTCTAGACGAGAACTTCGAAGCCCATCTGTCTGATTTCGGGATTGCCAAGTGCATTCCAGCAACCAGAACTCATGCTTCAACGTATGTTCTGGGAACGATCGGTTATATCGACCCTGAATATGCTTGCACTTCACGGCTGAATGAGAAATCTGATATCTACAGCTTTGGGATAGTCCTTCTCGAGCTTCTAACAGGGAAGAAGGCTGTGGATAATGAGTCCAACCTGCATCAACTGGTATATATGATTCTTTTCCAAACCTTTTTCACCCATCAAGAAAAGAATCACAACCCGGTTCTTGAATCGTTGATCGGGTTTGAGGGTTAGTTTTTGTTTTTTCGTTACGCAAACTGCGTGTTGATTTTGCAGATATTGTCAAGGGCCGACGATAACACGGTGATGGAGGCGGTCGATCCGGAGGTTTCAGTGACGTGCATGGATTTAGGACACATCAGGAAGACATTTCAGTTGGCTCTGTTGTGTACGAAACGAAACCCTTCAGAGAGACCGACCATGCACGAGGTTTCCAGGGTTCTGCACTCTCTTCTGCACCCAGCCACTGCGTTAAAGAAGCTTTCTCCTGTGGACTACGCGCAGTTTTTTGTCGAGAAAAAGCAGCACGGCGTTCGTCAGCTGCAGGAAGAACAGCAAGAAGTTCAACGACTGCGTGAGAACCACTCATCTGACGCAGCGGCGGCAGAAGCTCCATCACAGTGGTTCGATCAGTTCCGAGAAGTGATTTCCAAAAGTAGCGTATGAGACAAGAAAGTGTTTTGAAGTTCCATTTAGGTTTTGTCGCTTACTTGCGTCCCAAGAAATTGGTAAGGTTAGAGTTTTAAATTCTACATCAGGGGCTGGTTTTCTTGTGAATTTAGGGGTGGGAGCGGGGGCATTTTGGGAAAAGTAGAAATTTCGAGGATAGTTGTGGAATGAAATGAATGTGTATGGAAGGGTATTCAAGGCAAGAACAAGGTATAGCTGAAAATAGGTTCGTGAAGTTAATGTTGGTTTCCCCAAGGACATGTTCACGAGTTCGTTAAATTACTGGTCCCCCTCTTGAATGCTGTCTCTCTGTCCATCTCTCTGTGTATTACACGGGGCAATTGCAAAAATACCCTTAAATGTCGATTTCACTTACAGCCCATACCCTCGCATAGTAAAAAGAAAACGGCAACATCAGATATACCCTTATAAATATAGAATCCCTATAATATCCTTCTTTTATTTATATAATATTATAATATACTAAAATAAATAAAATATAGATCTATTTTTTATCCCTATTTTCTCTCTCCTCTTTATCATTGTCTCCCGCCATACATCGCATTATCTCTCTTCGAGTTTTTCTTCTTCTCTCTCTTGAATGTCTCTTCTCCAGCACGATTTTTTTGGTAAATTTACTCCAAGAAACTCATCCAATAAACGTAGATGTAGTGATATTGTCGCTTATAGTGGAAGAAAAACGAGTAAGTGGAAGGTCTAAACAAAACCGATTTTCTAGATCTGGTGAGACTCGAAAAAAGAAAATCATGTTCGGTAGGTTCGGTCAGTACATCAATGATGTCACAGACGTATGAGTCATAATATTATGTTCGTGCATGTAATGACATTATCAATTCATATTTGGACTAATTCACTCGTGTATTATATGGTAAAAACAGTCGTCAAACTGATCAAACTCGTCAAACTCATCGTAATACTAATCAACTCATAACACTGGTCAAAGTCGTAACACGCATTCGGGGTTTCATGTTT